TAAATTATTGAATATTTTCTTAACACAATCCCTTTTAAAGGGATAAGTTTTGGATTCCTTTTGTTCAAGCATTTGGGTTTTCCACTTCTATGGAGGTGGACGAGCAGGATTTGTAGACATGATAGGCTTCTTCATTTTGCCATCAAATGTCGATAGTGTCATACTCTCTTACAGCCTCTTCAAAAGACATATTGCAAATGGATTCTTACTTTTGGCTTTATCACCATCATTCTTAAAAGTCAAGGCTACTGTGATATCGTGCAAGCTAGCCACCTTTTCTATCAAAAGTCTTAAAAACAAGACTAAAATTGGGCCTTTGATCTTTCCCATGAGAAAAGAAACGACATGTTGCTCTTGAAGTTGGGGTTTGCATTGCATGCTCAAATTCCACCAATGAATAGTAAAATCTAGCAATTTCAGACCCCAGTTGAGCTAACATCAAGCTACTCATGGTAACTTGGTGGTGCACCCCAACAAAGCATTTTATGAATGCATCTAGCTCGGAGAATGATTTGAAGGTGTCATTTGGTAAATTGGCATACCATTCAAATGTAAAATCTGACAAGATAGTGATGAAAAGAAAAAGTAGAAAGACATCATTGTCATTGATGTTGCAGCAAAGTGCTCAGAATTGAGTGACATGCTGCCAGAGAGTTCCAATCCTGTTGAATTGTTTGGACTATGAAGGGATAAAACCTTGAGGAAACAGAATGGACTTGTATGCCTTAGGAGATGGTCTACCTTTCCTTATGATATTTTTGCCCTGTTGGGCTGCCAAAGCGACTCTAGTCCTTGCATCCATTAAGGACTTCAAATGATAATCAGATGTAGCATGTTACTGTGAAACAACAACAGCTAATGATATGTAGACATGCGTTGTGGGCGCCGAACGCACAATAGGAATATCTGGACTCGTCTCAACCTATATATTAGGCGAGACCATGTCAGACCCAACTTTATTGGCCTCTAACGTCTCAATCTTGGATGTCAAAAGAGAAATTTGATCCTAAAGAAGGGATATAACCTCATCCTTACTCCTATCCTCTTGATCAACAGGAGCATCATCTTGTATCTCAATGGACTTATGATGATTCAGATCACGAAATCTTGGGTGGAATTTCTATCTGAGGAAGCTCCTTCTCTAGTGGTTGCTACCATCGCATGGTGAGTGGTCATTTCAAATTATGACGCTCCTCACCAAGAATGTCATCCTCGTTAAGGAGATCATCTGGAATATTGGAGAGATTTCCGTCAGAAACATCTTCAGAATCCACCTTAGGCTCTTCCTCAATATTTACTTAAGGCGACACTAAGACAAGATCAATTGAAGGTGCGGTTTGAAATGTGTCAAATTTTTAAGCTATTTATGCTATAATTCCAACAAATTTTCACTTTAAATACATGATTTTACTTTTTTGGAAAGTTGGAATTACATTTTGCAGGTTACAAGAAGACTAGCATGCAAATCAAAGCAAAACCAATATATGAATAATCCAGGCCACAAAACTTAAGCAACATGGTCACGACAGTCTCAGAAGTGATCACGCTCAATGTGCTGAAGAAGGTTGTGCTTTGGAGGGATCGGCATAGCCACGTCGAATCGCAGTGTGACCTCGCCACCCAACCCGAGACTACGACATAATTACACCACAGGTCATGCATGGTAATGTCAGAGTATATTTTCTATTTTGAAAATATGTTAGTGCAGGATTCTAACAAAGTTTGGAAGGACATTGAACAAGCTATAAAAATTACATAATTGAAAACATTTGGAGAGCTTTTGGAGGAGGTATAGGCCCCCTCCATCAGTGGGTTGAATCCATACATTTAGGCCTTTCTCAAGACACATTGTCATTGAACCGTAAGTCCCATCCCTTGGAGCCTAATTCTTCCAATTTGGATCTACTACCTCAATCATGAAAGTTTGATTTCTGATGATTTGACTCATTATATTAACCGAGAGTTTTCTTTAGGGCCCGCATTTCTAAAGATGTAAATAACTATGAGGGTATTGCCATATAATTAAAATAAAACTTATCTTTCACCCACAAGGTGAAGGAAAAAAATCTGATTCCATAGACTAACGAAGGCTTTCATTATTCGGGTGATCAAACCCATTTCTTTAAGATAATATTTTCTTCCTTTGGGAAGATATATTACTCTTCAGAATGTCATGTCTATCATTTAAATAGAAAGTCTTTTAAAAAGTTCTATGATGTGAAGTGATGCACAAGAATCCCCCACCACATTCCTATATCATAATCCACAAATTTGGCAAGAAAAATTCTTTCTAAAATGATTTCCTGCTCCGTTGGCGTGGTCATGACAAAAAGTGGTGTCGTCACATCGGGCTTCTTAATCAAGCTGGTGGATATGCCAGATCCCGGCGTGTTCACTCCATATGTCTAAATTTCTTGTGTGGTCACACCACTTTAGGCCACTTTTACGTTGGTTTTTCTCATTCTAAAATGCTCGTATTCAACAACTATAAGCTGCACAACATCAACAAAAGCCTTTTTCAAGTATAAATATGTGACAAATCAATAAAAATATCAGGTAAAATGCAAGGTAAAATGTCTGTAAAATTACGTAAAATTAACGTATGTTAATCCTCAAGGGTATGACCTTAATATAAGAAAATTGAGATGGTTCCTTCTCCTTTAAGGCCTCCTTCTGACCAATCTTTTGTCGATATTTTCCACCTTCACCTTTGAAAGCATTTTTCATGAGTGTTCCATAAATTCTTGGCAGAGCAATGCCTTGGGTTGTCATGCTCTCTACGGGGACAGGATTTGAAACTTTCTTTTGTGCTCCTGCGGCTTAGAGGAGCCAAGCTAGCAATTGTACTCCTCAGAGAAAATGTGGTGATTTGGGAGCTTTAGAAGCTCGACAAAAGTTCTCAACTTTTGTAAGCAAAGTGCGTACCTGAACGAACCTTCACATAAGTCTTAAGCTAAGGTTCCGTGAGCAACAAAAGGTTCAAGGTCTTGAATGTCCAACATCTCCCAATAGAAGAAAATGATGAAGCTTCTGAGACTTTCCATGAGGTCTAGACAGATCTTTAAGTGAGCTTGAAAGTTTTTGGCATATTTTGTGCACTAACAAACTGGGCTATAAACTTGTTTTTGAACCATCTGAAGGAGTTGATGACACATGTAGGTAAGTTATTGAACTAAAGTAATGCTGATTCTTTCACCATCATAAAGAATAAATGACATCTTAGGGCTTCATTTACCCTTAACAAACATATATCTGACTTAAACGAAGATACATTATCAGCAGTATCTGACTTCTATTTATAAGATTCCCAAGAAAGAATCTTAAAATTCCTCGGTACCTCAGCTTCCGCAATCTCCTTAAGCAGGCATTCTCCAATGGTCTTTGTCTCATTGTTCTTCTCCTTTAAGCTCCTTCATTTGAGGATTCAAAAGGTTATTGTTTCAAGATGTAGGTTTTATCTATTTCTTCTTTTTCTAGCCATGGCTAAAGGGCCCGTCAAGGTCCTACCGTTGGTTGATCTTGTCTTCGTGGTTCTTGTCTTGGTGTTTCTCGTCTACGCACCAACGAATGAGATGATCTGATATGCATTATGAGCTGAGACCTATAATGGGATTTGAAGGCTTTTTTGCCTTGAATATTTTATAGTTTTTAGGGCAGTCCCTTAGCCATTGATTTTTTGCCACAAACTCTTTGGTGCAATTCATCGCTTCTCATTTCTTTCATACGACGGAAAGAACCTCTTGCAAAATTTAGGTATGAACTCCACTCTTGCTGCATTTTTTAAGATGTTGAATCTTTTTATGACGTATGATCATGTATTATTCGTGAGTTCATACAACCTGTTAAAAAGATTATGTCTTTAGGATGAAGATATAGGAGAAGGTGATGAATGTCTTTCTATGACTCGTGATTCTCACTCTATATTTTCCTAAGATCCTCGGGCAGCCAGAAATGGTTCAAAGCAAGGATCTCTACTTCCATCATAATGCGAGAGAGAGAGAGAGAGCAAAACGCTTTTCAAGGTCCTGAAAGTCTTATCTCTCGAGAGCTTCTCTGAGCTCCTTTTAAATATGATAAAAAAATATATATAATTATATTTCATAAGGTCTTACGTCTGTTCGCTGTCGTAGTGAAATTATTGTGATGCGGATGTCGGACAACATCAAAAATAAGAATTGACATGTCTTTGTATGTAATGTTGGTCTTTCCTGTTATGCTCAGCTCGACAACTTCGGCAGGTGGGCTCAGCTCAACAACTTCGGCAGGTGGGCTCAACTAGATCACTTCAGTGGATGGGCTCAACTCAACCATTTTGGCATGTAGGGGCAATCGACCACTTCGGCAGGTTGGTTCAGCTCAATTACTTAAGCAGATGGGCTCGGCTCAACCACTTATGCTGATGGTTTCAGGTCGACCACTTTGGCAGGTGGGTTCAACTTGAAAATAATATTATCTTTCGATATGAGCCTCCATAGCCCATAAAGCCTATTGGTTTGTATGATGTATCCCTGAAAAAAATTTATTAGAGTCTGACCATAATTGAATATCCATACTCGAATCTTAAATAACTAAACAAGCAACACCAAAAATCTTGAATAGCTAGCTAGAGATAAAGATGAAAACAAATATTTTTGTGCCAAAAAATCATAACTTGCAAACACATTATTGGAGACAAGGACGATAAGAAAAGAAAAAGTTGAGTAACTTTTTAGCTGAAAATTCACTTGTATAATGTTTGAATTTTCCTTCAAATATTGGGGATATTTTGGTTAGCCATACAAAACTTTCGGATGAAAAATTGGATGTATTTCTCCAATTTTGAGCACTACGGCACAAAATTAAATTTTCTTCATTTGATTGAGTGCAGTCATGTGTACTAAAAAATATACATAAAACCTTCACAATCTTCTAACAACTTCATTTGATTGAGTACAGTCATGTGATTCTCAAAAATATACATAAAACCTTCACAATCTTCTAACAACTTTTCTATTGCATGGGATTGCTTGCTAATATGTAAAAACAAATAGCTAAGTAATAGAAAGATAAAGTAAATGTCAGGACTTTGTCAACTAGCTAAGATAAGACATCCATTAAGATGCCGAACAATATAGCACACCATTATTTAACAATACTATGCCGCCCTTCAGTTTATTACATACAATGAAGGCCATCAACAAAACAAAAGTAACAAAAAAACCAATAGCAGGAAAAAGGATTTACAAATGAAAAATGGAAGTTGTGCATATTCTGTAATGCTGTGTAAAAAAGATAAACATTTCAAGCAACCTCGCGTCACCTATTCGATTGATTGAGCAAGAAGCAAATCTGAATTCGATATCGTGCCTGTTTGATCAATGTCAAGGTTCTCAAACTCCTCCAACACTAAAGCAACATCCTCTTGGTCAATCTTCCCCATCTCCTTTAGCTTATATATCACAAACTCAGCAGCACTGCAAAGAAACATTTGCATCGATTATGAATGGAAAGAAGCAGAACATTAGTGAGCACAAGCATTGTTCAGCTCAGTTCATTAAACAAACTACCAAATTGTTTGTGTTTGTCACTTTACTTTATCAAGCCGAACAAAAGCTGATATATAAATTATAAAATACACATCACCACCTATATGTATATATATTCATATAAATTGAAATATGCACAAGAGAAACACATAAATGCAAATAAATAGACATGCACAAATGCATAGTCAGGAATCAATGCATCACTCAGCCACAAGTAATAACTTCTATGTAACTAAATTAGGAATACTTTTTGGTTTATAAGTTTTACCTCACAACACCATCATCATCTAAATCAGCAGCTTCAAGGTCAACTATCGTCATCCTTCGTGTAAGCACCCACTTGACCAGGGATTGCCGCCTGTGTTCCATTTGTATTTCCGCAATATAGAGAAAGAACTGAGCTAAGCAAATGGTACTCGTCAGAATCCAGAAAACAGAAAAAACTCGACCAAGAGCAGTCGAAAAGCTCTTATCACCATAACCGAGAGTTGTGATGGTGGCACAAACACAGTAAAATGCATCAATAATGTCTAACTTCTCAACCTTCACTAGAATTATAACTCCCAAAGAAATTAGCACCAGAAGAACCACAGCAATGGTCAAGAATTTGTACTCAGCTTTTCTTGTGTCGATCTCTTTCAACATTTGCTGCATGCCAACCTTTCGTTTTAAGTGTACTGCTTTGACTAGTAACACTTCCTGCTTCTCAACAAGGTAATCAGCAGCCTTGCCAAGGAAGAGAGCTACAAAGGCCATTCCACTAAAGACAAATGCACAAGCAAGAAGCTTTGCTGCAACACTATGTGGCACAAGATCTCCATAACCAACAGTGGTCATTGTCACAATGCAGAAATATAAAGCATCCAGAATTCCATTTGTTTTCTTGCCAATGATTTGATCCCTCACGAGGTAGAAACAAGTACAGCCAACAAACAAATAGATTATCAAAAAAACAAAAGCTTTCCTAAAGCTCGGGCGAAAATTTTTCATGATGAAGTTAGAAACTGGGAATAAGCCATTAACTTTTTCAAAATCCAAGAAATTGGCGTCCGAAGCAGGCATAGTTTTACAACGGCGAATTCTTCTTTTCTTGCTGGTTCCTGTGCTTTGATCTGTGAAGCCTGAGAGCAAGGCTTGCTTTTTCATTGCCGAATCATCAGCCATAAAAGTATAGTATCAAATCTGCCTGATAATGTTCTGCGTGAATAGACATGTGCATAGAAGAGCTTATTAGATAACGTGTATGTAGCAGAAGACTAATAAACAGTATGATGGCTATGAAACAGCATAATACAGTATGATTATCCAAAATAATTATTTCATCAAATGCTGGTTTAGACAACAGCATGGCCAGTAGAAATGAGTCATCATGCATAAGCAATTCATATAGTTTTCTAGTACTTACTCATCATACAAAAGATATATACAGACATGACTACCTAAATTAAAGTTGGGAGGCTGGGCTAGAGCTATATTTTCATAGAGTGATGGTGAGAGAAGTCGAGGATGATTTTATAAAACTAATGTTGGATTTAATTTTATATATCGAAACATATCAAGATATTTCTAAAGAAATTAAATAAGCATATCGAGTGACAAAAAAAAAGCATGCTTGACCTCAATGAATCGCCTAAAGAATTGTTCTATAAGCACCAGGTAAAATCCCTTTAATCAGAAAAGGGTGTGTCAATCAAGCTATAGAGTAGAAATTTAGAAAGAGATTTTAAAAAAAAATTAAGAAAGATTTGGTGTTTTAGATTTTAATCAGCCGCAGTGAACCAGTGACTAATAAATAAGGATAAAGGTAAATGTTATAGAATTGTCTACATAGTATAATTACATAAATAAATGAACTTCGGTGTAGCTATGTATACAAAGGAAGAGCTAAGCTTGTAGTTGACTAGTGTTTAGGAAGGCAAATTTTTAACTTGAGAGAAGTACCTAAGGCTAGTTCTTATGACAAGAAGGCCTAATCAACTGGGGAGCACTTTTCATGAATTGACTTGCTCCTTTGAAAAAATAGCCTTAATTGAAAGACGCTTTTATGAGTCCCTTGGGCGAGTTTAGTAGCTGAGTAGAAAAAAGTAACATTAACCAAACTCTTGGGCAACTAAAGGCTTTGAATGATTTCAAATTTGGCAACTTCCAAGTTGTAAATAGTTCATGCAAGTTCTTAACTAGAAACCTTTTGAACATGATTATAGTTCTCAAATTAACTTGAATAAAATGACCGAGGCTAACATGTCCGTTCATAACTACCCCATTTATTTTGTCTCTTTCAAGAAACCAAAAGAAAATGAGAATAATTATTCGAACGAACCCAATTTGGTTCAGGCGACTCATGCCATTTGAAAGGATTGATTTTGGAGCATTGGCTCAATAGATTGTATAGAATTTTGACAAATTGAAAGTTTCTCCAGTTCATGTAACTTTGAGGTTCAAGGTATTTTGTAGAATTTTGTTGATTGGGCTTTAGTCATCTTATTCTTGCTCTGCGACTATGTCAAAACTCATATTCTTGCAAATCTAATTCCAAGCTTAAATACTGCTGATGAGCTTCAAAAAAGGTTTATAGAGGCTGCCAATTGAAAATCGTACTTATTTATGAAAAAATCTGTCAAAAAAAATGCCTTCGTTAAAGAAATTGCAAATTAAGAAAGTGGAAGAAAGGCCTAGTCCTTAACTGGGTAACTCTAGTGCTGAAATGGTCAAAAGCTAATGGGGCAAACACTTTTGTGAAAATCATTGACGACCTTCAGAAAGGAGTTCCAACAACAGAGGGTAAGACTGATACCCCTCCAGAGGTAGAATGGAATGAAGGATTCAGCACTCCAAAGCCTTCCCTTCAGTCATATAACAATAATTTCTTCTGCACTTTTGATTTTGAGATACCCAATATAAGGCTTTAATCTTTGAGTTAATCTTCATCTCTGAGGGATGCTAGTGATGTGACTCTTCTAATGTTTTGAAAAACATAGAATAAAGATGGGGACAAGTTCCCCCATGGTGCCCAACCAAAGGATAAAAAATAGAATGTTGGAGAACAAACATATGAGAAAGTCATCGTTGAATGCATATCTGTGGATAAAGCTATAAATAAACAAAGTTAAGCTTACAACTCTCTTATTCAAGCTTGGCATTTATTCTCTTATCAAGTTTGAACTGAACTTAAATGTGGCCCAAGTTTTAAAATTTTGTTCAAGTTCGCTTATTAGTTCTCAAATCATGTTTGGGTTCTAATTATGTTTAAATCTTATATATTTAATTCTAAGGATCTAAACATATAAATTAAGTAATGAACATAACAAATTTTAATACATTGGTATAAATAATTAAGTATTATTTAAGCTACCTGGTAATATTTAAATGTTAATAAAATAATAAATCTAATCATCTAATCATTTTTTTTTATTTTTCACTGACTAAAATTTTAATAACAAGCATAACTTTTAAAGTGCATAGTATATAGGAAAATTGATGCAATGATAGAGAATAAATCACAAAAAAATAATTTACCAAATAAACAATTAAGTTATTGATAATGTTTATCTGATGGTTGCCTCATTGCCAGTGATTCTTCTTGGTAAGCATTCTCCATTGTTTCTAGTGGTTCTTCCCAAGGGAACTCACATTGAATTCCCTAGAGTTTAGTTAACTCTTACTGGAATATGAGCCCACAATGCCGCATGATAGGTGCAAGAAATCAAAATAAATTAAGATTGGCATGGAGTCCTTTGCAATCCCTTGAGACTAATTATTTTCAACAAAAAAGAGCAATTACCCCTAGTGAATGGATCAAGTCCTATTAGAAACTTTGTCGTCCTCCATGCCCAATAAAAAGAACAAAGGCACCATCATAAGATTTAGACTACTGGTCAAGCTTTGATTTTCAAGATCAACATCCTAATCTCTTTTTAAGCCAAAGTTCCACTTTGTGACTCAAGCTTCTTCTAAGCCAATTCTCCCAGCTATGCTCACCACATCAAAGGGTCATTAGCAGTGCTTGATAAGTATATAGGAATAAAAGCATCAACGCTCACACACACAGATATATATATATATATATATATATATATATATATATTGATTGGGGCATTTACATTGAGAGCACACAATTTTATGTATTTACAATATCACACCTATAATTTCATATTCACACACATAGCATTCAAATATTTAATATCACATAAAAACTTTCTCATCATTACTCTTAAGTGTCTTTCACAACCTATCTTGTGCTTTCATGAAGTACTCCAAGAGGGGATCCTACTACATTGTTTTAGAAGGCCCTAGTGATGTAAATAAAATATGAGATGAATTTATGATATGTTTATACTTGTTTTTGCAAATTTTATAATGATATTATTTGTGAGAAAAGTATTTTTGTCTGATTTGTGCATGTAACAAGTTGGATGTTGTTATGGAATGAAAAATAAGAAATAAAGTGAATAAAGAGAGTTTTTGACCCAGCGCACCCATGCTGACATTACCGCCCGCCCTCGTCGAGCCAGCAGACCGGTGCCCAAAAGCCGGTACACCCGCTCCGGGTTAAACGCCAGTCTCACAAAGCAGCGTGCTCGTGCTTGCATCGTGATGCACCCGTGCCAAGGTTTACATCACAGGGCTCCCAAACCAACAATGTGGCGCGCCCGCGCCTTATCATTATAGCCCTAGCGCAGTCGTACTGGCATCGCGACATACCTGCACCATGTCATTGCAGCACTACAACACTTGTGCCCAATTTGCTTAATTAATTTTGGAAGAATTTTTGGAAGAATTTTTCTCGTCTTTCTTGAACTTCACCAATTTGTATGCTCATGGGGACTATGGTTGTCAAAAAAGCTCGTTGTTCGCGAACAACTTGTGTTTGGCTCGTTAAGTAGCTCGTGTTCGGCTCGTTTGTTAAGTAAATGAGCCGAATACAAAAAGTTTTAAATCTCGAATTATAAACGAGTCGAACATGAATAGCTCTTTCTTCGCTCGTGTTCGGTTCGTTTTAGCTTGAAATAAAAAATTCATATAATTATTTATATAATAATATATTACATATACCATTTCTATAATAATATATTATATATATTTATATCTAAGTTTAAATCATAACACCTCGTGTAGTAATGTGGTAAGTGTCTTCTTTTACATACATTTGGTCTAGGTTCGAATCCAACACTTCACATCTATTTTTTTTCAATTTAGTTTTAACGAGCCAATTTCGAGCCGAACACGAACACACAGTTCACGAACCGATTTTGAACAAGAGTTGATTTCAAACATAAGTAATTTCGAACGAGCCAAACACAAGTCATTTTTTGACCGACTTATTACGTGGTAACTTTTTGGCCATCACCTAGGCATTCAGCATGTTTTCCCTCATTCACATCTAATTCTAGGAGATTAGAGAGAGCATTTTTTGGCCAACAGGCAGCCCTATATTATCTTTGACATTGCTATCATTATATTTACAAATTTCAGCATTGTAGATCGAATCAAAGTACTCATCAAAGCCTCCACGAGTAAATGTAGCTTAAATTACTTGTGAGTGCACATAACTAACGTTGCCTAGATGTTAACTAAACTAGAGAACCTACAAATGATGACTTCAAAGCTCTAGAATCAAGGCCTCATCTATGCCCACACAATCGGTCACTTACTACCTAGCATTGCTCCAAGCTGTTGGGTTCCAACCTAAACCACACTTAGCATGTGGTTTAGGGTTGTGTGTGTGTGTGTCTCAGTGTGTTTGTGCGCGTGCGCGCCCATCGTTAGGTTACGTTACATGTGATCAAACTTGGGAGGGTACTCATTGTATATTGTGGTGCCTCACACCTTCAAGCCAAGGCATTAATCACCCTAGAGTACCATATGCCTAGCTATCTAGTTGTCTAGAAAATACAAGTCCTATCTCACTAGATCAATTCTATTAGTTTTTCCTATATAACTATTGTAGAACTTTTTCCGCCTCTTTAAAAGGTCCATTTGTGAACTATAAATTGAACAATAAGACCCTCATTTTCAGCAACCTTTGATATTTTGCAATTCCATTTATCTTCATTCCTTTACGGGCATGCATCGTTTCAACAATAAAGCCTTAGTATACTCTTGAGCATCCTTATTATGTTTTTACAATCGATCCACTGGCATTCAAACTCCTTCTGGAAAAACACATATCTCCATGCCACCTTATCAGCAGTATGGTTTTATATCCTGCATCAGCTTTTGTGCATGACTTGCCCTTTAGGCGTGAGACAGCCTACAACTAGCTGTTTGACCACATCAAAAAGTTAAATTGACCTTTTTAATCAAGAGTATTCTGAAATATTGTATTTAAGATCTGATTAATTATTAAATTTGGCAAACAAGGGAGAATCCAATCACTTATTATTAAACAATCCTTGTTTGTCATTCTCCACTATATAGGAGAAATCTCTGGGACAGTTAATATGCCTTCCATTGATTCTCACAACCCATGCAAGGATTTGTTGGTCTTTGTCATAAGGCTCTTCGAAGCCCACGGTGGCTATGTTAATACCTAAAATATTTGGGCATTTGACATAGCTGAGTTCACTTTTTTATGACAAAACACCTTATCTCGGAATTCTCACTCCACCTCTGATAGCTAGAAACTAATCGAGATAAAAGAAGTACAAAATAATTGCTAACTACCATCTCTTTATCTTGTCAAAGCTATATGTCAAAATTAAGAAACAAACAAGTTAATGATGGCCAAGAAAAAATCAACAGAAACGAGAATATTAAGATGATGTGGGGCAAAAAACTAGAGTAATATAATTACAAATGATCATATTAAAGAGATGTGGGAGTACATCAAATGAAGCTAAAATTGTCAAATTCAAAATTGTATGAGTTGGCCAATATAAAAGCAGGAAAAAACTTTATTGAAGAAATGGATGGATAAAATTAATGTGAAACTACATGGAAGGGAAAGACAACAAAAACAACAAAGCCTTAATCCCACTACGTGGGGTCGGCTACATGAATCCTTTTTCTCCATTGCATCCTATTTAGTGTCATATTTTCATTTAGTTCTAGTAAATTAAGATCATTTTATACAATAAGCCCAAGTCTTCCTAGGTCTACCTCTGCCTTTCTTAACACAAGTTGAATCTAAAACATCTACTCTCCTAATCGGATCATCAGATGGTCGACGTTTAATGTGACCAAACCATCTAAGACGACTTTCTCTAATTTTGTCCGTCACAGGAGCTACGCCAACCCTATCGCGGATATATTCATTTCGCATTTAGTCTCTAAGTGGATGGAAGGGAAAGATGAATAAATAAAATAGGAAAAGAATTTGCATAAGAAATTTTATGAACAATAAAATTATCATCCATATTACACTCAGCAGAAATGAATGCATGGAAGATTCATAAGGCTAACAAAATAGTTCAGATAAGTTTGATGATGTGATGAAGAAGAAGAAGAAGAAGAAGTGAGATCTCAAAACATATTACATGTGTAAGCCCACAAGTGCATTTCTCAAGCTTTCACGTGTTAAAAAATTAGATGACGAATCACATAGCACCTTGACCTGGATTGTTAGGTTATAAAGAGAGGAATAGATCTAATTAAGGTTGTTAGAGCGCTGCAGAATAACATCAACTACATAAAGGAAATCAGTTAAGAAAACAATGATCAAGTCCTAATCAAAAGTGAAAGACAAACTGTACGATTTTTATTGTGATTAAACTGACAGCCACTCAGAGGTGTTAACGTGCTATTGCTTTAATCATGCAACAGATTCAATATAGAAGTTGGTTCACGATCATAAATAAACATTGGAGGAGGATAAAAACACAGTGAGATGGAATCGCAAGGCAATGCAAAAAAAAGGGGATGCTACAAGAAGGTAACCATAATAAAAAATTGATCGCGATAATACTAAGACAATCTTAAAGTGCTAAAATGCCTTACGTAGATTTTTGAAAAGTACATTTCCAAATCCTCAAAGCACTAGTGCCTTCACCTTTGATAATAAATCAATTCCAAAATGAAATTTTACATCAGGAGATTCAATATATTCCTCAAAACCAATTTCAAACAGTTTGTCTACAGTATTGTTCCACAAGTAGCAGGCTCTCAAAAGGAGAGAAAAAAAAAAGATTATTGCTGAGAGGTTTAATAGACAGGCAAGACATAAGTGAAAATTTTAATCAAACCCGCAAAAGAATTTGAGAAGAATGAATGAAAAAAATTAAGTGATGATCCAAAAGGTTACTAAAATAAAGAAGATCAGCCTTTGAAACAAAGTTTTTTTACTAAAAGAAGAAAAAAAACAAAACAACAAAAGAGAATCAAACTACTAAATAAGCATTATTTTTGCAATGCTACAAGAGAAAATAGTCTGTGTATATGAATTAAAATTTGGATCGGGATATCTTAATCAAAATTTCACTAGATAAGTGCAACAGAATAATCAATCAAAACTTATGTTGCACTCATCTAACAAAAAATTCAACAACATTAAGACCCATACTAACAAATCTTAATCCAAGACATCCAAAAAATTTTCATCCATGAGTAAAAATTTCATCACAACACTATCATTGCCGGTCCCAAGCCTTGGATGTGAAAAGTGGAGAGTTGCGATAGTTAGTCGACAGACAGCGTAAAATTTGTCAAAAATCATGACAATAGGCTTCCCTTAGAA